CCCACCCCCCCCCCCCCCCCCCCCCCCCCCCCATGTACAGTATTCGACCTAAAGAAAAATCATCTGATTCTCCCTTGATAACCGGCAAAATTCTCAAAATTAAAGGTCTTTTTCTCGTTTTTCAACCGAGGGTTGAATTGTTTAAGCATTCAAGTAACGCATGTCGGAACACATCTTTCATTTATTTATTTTTTTACTTTTTTTTTACTTGTATAGGGGCATTTTATGTCCGGGGAAATTCAAGAAAAAATCCAGTCTTTGGAAACGCGGCGAAAGCAACTTGTGTCATCGTGGGAAAAGCGTCAGAAAATCTACGACTTCCACCTTGATTTGCTCGTATGTATCGACCGTATACTTGTATAATACTTCTTTCCCGGCTGCGGCAATCGGTGACTCGAACGATGATTTTTTTTTTCGTTCTTTCATAGACCTTCATGGCAGACTGCACCCAGATGGAAGGCTGGCTGCAGAGTCGTCAGTCTCAGCTATCGGATTCATACATGGGATCCTCAATTGCTCAAGTAGAAGACCTTATCAAGAAGCACGACGATTTCGAGAAAACTCTCACGGCACATGAGCAAAAGTTGGCTTCCGTCAAACGTCTTACCAAAGTACGTGCTTCTGTCGTTTATTTTTGACTTCGTTTGCAATTTTTTTTTCGTTTTTAGATTGAAGAAAGCTTTGTAAAATTGAAAAAAGAGGAAGCCGACATGCGAGCCGCCGAACGTGCTCGACAGGAAGCTGAAAGAAATAAGCCCCTTCTGCGCCCTGACGTAAGTTAACTGAATACGGAATCTTTTATCTTCAAACTTAATGAAAAGTTGAACGGTGCTTACCTTAATCATCGGTCTTAAAATTTCCAGTGTTGAAATGCGAGTACAGTTGTATAGTGTTCGAAGGCCGCTCCGATAAATACTGTTACAAAATCTTAACTATTAATTAATCATTATTTTTGATGATCGACTTGAAATCACGAAATGGATTCCTAAAGCCAAGCGCCAAGTTTCGATGAAATATTCACTCAACTTCTGGTTGTTTCAGGACTCTCAAGAACCAGCGGCTCCACCGAAGGCTGATACAGAGTCCGGGTATTTCCGTTATTCCATAATTTTGATGAGCATGTTCTGAAGAAAGAATTGTTTTCAGCTCACGGTCTATCTGGCGACCTGGAAGTCAAACGAATTTACTGCAGTTACCGAAGCGTGCTGAAAGCATGCGAGTGGGAGAGGATGGTGGAAAGAAGCCGAAACGTACGCCAAGTTTCACGACGCGCAAGCGGACAACTTCGTTTAGGAAGCAAAAGCTCAAAATGCCCGACGAAATGGTTCAGCTGCCACCGGTTGAAATGAAGGGCTTCCTGGAACGCAAGCAGGAACTTCAGACAGGTGGCAAAAAGGCGACGATTCGTTCGTGGAAAACGCATTATACGGGTGAACAAACTTTTCATCATATTCCAGAAAAAGAAAAAAATAAGCCAACTCTTATTCTAATTTTCACTTGTAATAGAAAAATAAAATACGTAGTAACTGAGCGGGTTTGAAAAAATTACGTTATCACTCCGATATGCAGTAGTACAGTACTAATCGGTAGAATATATATATACTGTATATATATATTTTTTTTTTCTTTTTTTCTTGTGAACACAGTCTTCTGAGGAAGAAATTGCTTCACCTTCCTCACTGCAGAATTTTTATCAAATTTCGATTGTTCAACATTTTTTCCTTGAACGATTGAGAATAAAACGGATATCAGCTGTATTAAAACTCTGGTACAGCGCCGCAGGAAGAATGCAAATTCTGACTTTTCTAACCCCGCTTCACAATTCGAACGCATCAGTTCAGCAGCGCGAGGGAAATTTTTTCTTGTTTTACAATTTTTTGCAACAGTTTTGAGGAATGCCACAATTTGCGAATCATCTCTCGCGCGTGTAAAGTGACGACTTACTCTGGCACGAAAATAGGGGCGCCGAATCCGCTGATTCCTTGTGTGCACAAAAATAAACCATGCGATGAAAAATCAAATTTTTATTTTCAGTTCTGTGCGGCCAGTTGTTGTGTTTCTTCAAGGACATGCAAGACTTCGTTGAAGGGAAAGCCTCGTCTCCCCCGGTTGCAATATACAACAGCACTTGCGAAGTGGCTACCAATTATACCAAAAAGAAATATGTTTTCAGGTATGTTTTGAATGGTTCTGGTTTAAATCGGGTTCAAAAGCTATGTACACCAGAATAATAACATAACTGACGTAAAGCTTCCGCTTGCTGATTCAAATAAATTGAGTTGCTTTGGAAAATGTTTTTCCATCCGAAAAGAACCTCTGAACGAGACTGTTCGCTGCAACCGACGAAAATGTTGACTGAAAACCACGTCGTTCCATTCGCTCTGGCCACAGCTGTCGTAGATGTTGCTAGTTTTAGAATTCGTGTTCTTTTTTCGATTCTACAGAATAGTCACTACAGATGGCGCGGAGTACTTATTCAAAGCGGAGAACGAAGTCGAACGGGATGACTGGGTTAAGAAGACCAAATTCCACGCATCTTTACCCCCGTCACAGCAGCTGCTGTCCTACGATTCCCATAAGGCCGGAATAGAAGAGGTACTGGTTCGCTTCAGAATTGCCTTCCAAAATCATCTGGGTTTAACATTTCTTTCAGTGAAACTGAAAATTTTTCAGTGAGATCGGAAGGTTTCACTTTTTTTTCTTCGCATATATTTATGAGGAAGTACAGTGTTGAACACAGTCTGCCGAATAAAGCCAAGGGACGTTCCGAGACACCGCTTTATAGCTGCACGGTGGTGCATCTAAAACTAAATTTTTATAGGAGTGGCGGGGTTTCAAGAAAATAAAATCAGGAAAATATTTAGTGTTGTTCGGTTACAGTCTGGAGCAGTTGAATCTCCATGCCTGTTCTAGAAATCTAGATGCCATCACGATAAGAAGTTTTTTGTTTCAAGCCCTTTGCTTGTTTGAAGTTACTGTGCGCAGTGATCATAAGGTGGAGTGAGTGGATAGAATGGAACTTTTATGAAAATATTACAATTCCTCCTTCCGTAAAATGTTCCCTGCGAACACGTGTCCACACTTCCTGGTTGCTGTAGCAACTGTCTAATATGCTTACGTAAAACTTGAATTTTATTCCAAATTCATCTCTGCACAATAAATTTTCGTACAATAGCCCTTCCTCCCTCCCAAAGGGCTTAAGCTTTTATAACTTGACGGATTTCGGAATGAAACGCATTCTACAGTATTTAAGGCATACTTAATCTTTGGAATAGCGTAATCGTGTTTTGGAAGCACAAAAACAGATAATTTTTTGGCTTGGATTAACCGTTGATTCGAGTATAACCGTGCACAAATTCAGATTTATAGAGGGAAAAATGATCTGAGATAAAGGTACATTTGAGCGCTTTCATTCTTCTATGATGAAATATTTATCAAGGCTACTTAATCACAGTAATGCTGGATGACGTCGCATCGCTGTTGAATGACTGTTTCATCTGCTAAATAATTTTTCTTAAAGCATTCGGTCATCGAAGACTCGGTATTTGCTTGTTCGGGTGAAGGCACCGGCGGTCATTCGCCTGGGTATATTCGCAAAGCCCCCTTGGTAATTTTGCTACGAGTAACAACTTTTGCTGACTTTCCGATTAGCTTACGCGATAGTTCCGCTGGATTAATAAGTCGTACCTTAATCTGTGTATTTCACAATGGTTTACTCCCCCGTAATGTCTAACGGTACAGTGTTCGGTGTAGAAGTTTCGTGTGTTGTTCCCTCTTATTTTTGTACAGCCACGCATTCTCGACGCTTCCTCCCGAAGCTATCCTTAAAAATCCTGCTTTTCTAAGCCCGACCTGGAGATGATCTGTATACTGTACTGTGATGTAAGATACCATGAAAATATGCACAGGATGAAGCCGGAAATAAGCTACATTCGCAGCGTGGCAGCGGTCTGCACGAGGAAACCCTAAGCTCGGGGTCGAGTCGATCCAATTCCCCCCTGCCGCAGCCTCCGAACGAGGCGCCACCCAGATCCGTTCACCCTCCTTCGCCTGCCAAAGGGCAGCTTAATGACGCTTACCTGACTCCTGTCCCTTCGCCCCCGCCGATGCACTCGCATCCATACGGTAGGGAACAAGTACCCGTCGGCTCGAAACATCAGAACGGAGTAAGTCCCTGCCGATTAAGGCGTAGTTACGCATGCTTTCAATTGTCCGCTTGGGGAGCTGTCAATCGGTGGTGGTGGTGGTGTGCTTATAAAAAAAAGTGATTTTATACCAGCGTGAGATAAGGACAACTAGTTGACCCCTTTAATGCAATTCCTCTTGGGGAACTGTGCGTATAGCAATCTTACCGTGCAAGACATCATCCTTTATTATCGCGCTTTCGGCATTTTCTCATGTTCTCCACCCATCGGCTGGCGATCTTGAATCGATTTTCTTTTCTAACTCAACTCAAAAGACGTCATTAATGGTAAGTGCTTCGAATTTCAAGCTTTGAGAGAAGAACCGGATTTCCAATATGATCGTCATAGTTTTTCTGGCAGAAAGCGAAATATTTTTATGCGTCATACTCGGAGCACTTTTATTGTCCTTCTTTCCTGAATCATTCTAAGACGACATTGGCCAATTTCTGACGGATTCACTCGGAAAGGTACACGAATGTGTCTGACCACTTTTTCGAATAGTTTACCTTTTTACAGAGGGAGAAAATATTGGTGGATCTTCAGGAACTGCCTTCGTATTATAATGCGACATCTGTGTGGTGTGATTCAGTTGATACAAACGATAAAAATTTGGAATAAGTATTTGTTGCGTTGTGTTTTGTTTCTGAGGGCGATGCGAAGTATGTAACGAATGTTACAATGCGTTTGTCGTATGTTGCATTTTCTGGATGTTTTCTAAAACAAGACGACTTTAGAAAATCTTGAAGACGTGCCCCCGCGGAATCAGAAATTCTCGGACTTCGAAAGCATGCATAGTTTTCCTGCGTGATGAATTGATGATGGCGGTGAACGGAAAAAAAGACGCTGTCTAGCCGCACAATGTTGTGAATAGAAATTATTGCTTTGAAGATTGACAACTCGCGTTTCTGGACATTGGTTGCTTATTTTATTAGAGTGATCTTCATTGCTGATGTTGCTTTCGGGAATACTGCGTCTATTCTAAATTCTTGAATTGCTGAGCTCAGGTGACTGGCTTTTCTGGAATTAAGGCAATAAACCGTCATGGCGTGACACGCCCTGTTGTGCCGTATGATTTTGGCGAGGGGCATAAACGCGGCTTTCAACTCTGTTCCCCGAATCCGCGATGAAAACTTGAAATTAAACTGTGATATTCTGTTTAGGATGGACTTGGGGAGTTGCGAGATTTCAGTCGTCGCCCCGAACCCGTCTACGCCAATGAAGGGGCCGAGCAATTGCACGTCAACAAGCGCCCTCAGTCATTCCACGGCGGTCCGAGCGTACCGCCACCGCCGCCACCTGCGCGTACTTCCGTACATTACGGCGCCACTCCTTTGCAAGGTTTGCTTCCTTTCGACAGTTGAACGAGTTAAGAGGTTATTGACAGTTCTGTTGTCATTTACAGGTGTTCGAGACATCCACGGAGCCCCGACGCAGCAATATACTGGAGTGAGTTTTGGTTTAGAAAAAGTAATAAATACCCGGGGGGTGCGGATCAGTTTCTCGCCTTGTAATGTGCCAATGTGCAATCAAACCTCGATAACCCACCATCATTTTTTTGTGAGGTTTGTGGCGGTTTAACGGGTTTGGTGGTTTAAAAAAAAATAAAATCTTATGAAAATCAAATAGAATAGGAAATGTAATTACAATTCCTCTGGAAAACCATCAAGATACCCTTGAATGCGTAAATATCTACCTAATGTTCTCAAGAGGTAAATTACATAATCTTTGTGTTTGTGTTTTTTAAATTGGAGATCTCTCTCAGAAACTTGAATCTTGTTGGCGGGCCAGCGAAGACAAAAATACTTGTGATACTGTATTTGAGTTGTCAATAATTTTGACGGACGACGTTTCAATGGGGTTTCCCCTACTATTACCATTAGGGAGGATCTGTTGTTCAAAATAAATTAGCGGTTGCCGTACTTGCCGAGGGGGGGGGGCGGCTTATCGGAGGCTTCTTAAAAGGGGTTTGATTGTACAGTACTATACTGTGTCATGCATGTGACAAAATTTCTATTTTCTGGGGGATTTTGTGCAGAGCTCGTCCGGAGGAGTAGGTGGTCCAGGTAGCCGCGTGAGCTCGTTGCCGCCGCGGACAGCACCTCCGTCTGGGCCCGGTCCGTACCCACAACGCGGACAACTTCCGCACGCCTCCCTGACGCGCAGCTCGACGTCAGTGGACAGCGGCTCTGAAACCGACGCTTCCACTACGTCCAGTCGCAAACGAAGTGGCATGCTGAAGGGCCTGTTCAAGAAGAAATCAACGCAGTTGTAGGTCTTCGACGAAGTATTTATAAGTACCCCCTCTTTTTTTTCATTTCCCCGTATTCACTTCGGTAGTACCGAGTGCAGCGTTGTGGCGATTCAAGTTACTCCGGCGAAATTGGTTTTGTTGTTGAAGTGGTTGACGAACCGCGTGTCATACGAATGTTTCATTTTTTTGTCTTACTTCCTTCCGTTGCAATATAACCTATATTGAGTTGCTGACACTACTTGGCATCGTACTCCGACTGCTCATGGTCTGTTGACGGAATGTACGGTTACATTAAGGCGCCTTTCTTGATCTGTCCTTGCTGAGTCCGGAGCGCTCCGTCTGTGATAAACGTGGCACATTCTTCGGCTCACTAGGACTTGAACCTGCGTTTTTGCGGTATTTTTGTTTTTTTGTTTGTCTTGCATTCGGGAATATATCAAGCAAGCGTTGCGCTATGCTTTGAATGGAGAAACTTTGTGCTGCCTCGGGTCATTTTCTTTTGTTTGTTTTTGGGGCACGGCGCATTTATTTACACTGCTTTTGGATTTTGAAATCGGAATCCTAATCGCGCATTTTAAGATTTTTTCTTGGATCCTTCCTCTGTTTGCTACTGCACCGTAAGGTTGATTAACGAACATATTTTTTTATAGTGGAAGGATGAGTATTTCATTTTATTCTTACTGTGATTATAGTGGTTTTTTACGGAAACTGACGGGCTGGCCTTGTACTTTTCGCCACCATTTGATTACCGAGAAACGTCAAAACATCGTCGAGTGTTCTCTATATATGCTTCGTGTCAAAAAAGAATTCCATCATGTTTTCCTCTTCTATATGCAGTACAGTCCGTATAAAACAGCTGCAAACAATTTACGAGAGACTTTTTTCTTGCAACGAAATCTGATCAGTGTCCTCAGGCGTACTTTTGGTAGCATCATTTTATGATGATGGAGTGAGGCGTTAGAATGTCTCGCGTCCTGTTGAATTTTCCGTGATCGCAGTCTCACTGAAGTTCGCCATGAACCTCCGCACAGCAGCCTATATAGACGCCATCCTATGGAAACGGTTCTCAAATGAACCATTTTGCACAACTCCAGATATTTTAGCTTGCTGACGGACTGATGTACATTGTACACCATTATAGACGGCAAGATTTACCTGAATAAGCTGAAAAATTGGCTACAAAACCTGATTTTCGTTTTAGGATGAGTGACATCTAGCGATCATTTCTTCGTTGCCATTTAGAAACGCGTGACGATGTCTCCCCTGAATCAGAATAAGAAGCTATTGATGCATACCATAATCTTGTTGGAGATACAGTACCAACTGCAGTTTCATATGAGATTGGAGGATGGGGCGCAGCTACTAAACCGGATGATTTCGATTTAAAGTAACCCGCTATATTCCAACCGGAATCCAGTTTTTGTGCAATGAACACGCCACACAGTTCTTAAGCAAAGCAACTGATGTGTATACTTATTTGGCGTGAGAAATCCGTGTGGCATATTTCTTAAATTCACGAATTGAAAAATAAATGGTAGCCTGAAAGTGTAGCCGTGCCTCCGCACGAAAAGTGTCTCATAACTCCACCCAAAACCCATGAACCATCCGGAAAGCAAGCCACGACGACAACAACGACGCAATTTTTTCGTCTCTCTTCCATCAGAGCTCGTTTGTTTTTCTCTTTATACTTGCTTTTTTTTAGCATTAAGGAACTAAAAATGTTTCGGAACGCGATGACGACGACGTGCCTCGACCGATAATCGAGACACGTCGAGCAGCGGGGACTCCGTCGTTTCCCGAGGACGTGCAAACCAGCAAAATTGAAAGCATGTCGAGTCTTCAGTCACGGGGGGTCAGGTACGAACCGTGGAAAGCCGAAGTAGCCAAATACTGTACGATTACGGGGTGAAATTAGGATCCAGCAGCATCATTCCACCCGAAATTGAAAAAAAAATAATAATGCGTTATTTTCAGTGAATCTGATTGAAAAGCATTTCGGCGTAGGAAAGTTGTACTATCCGAAAGGGGGTAGAATGAAGCGCTTGTGAAGAAGATGTGTGTTCCACCGGTGGGCTTTCTCTGCAACACTTTTATCAACTGTAACATTTGCTGCTATGAAAACTTTATTGTCTTTGCATCTAATGGATCTTTTCATATATAAATAGGGTAATGTAAATTAGATATTTATATGCAGTAGCAGAAGCAGTAGACGTTTTTCCTGATGCAGCTGGGTATCGTTTTGGAGATAACCCACCTGTTATATGTACTAGTACAGCGAGGGCTGCTTTGCTTCAGTGGAAAAACAACGACATTTGCTTAGATGTACTTGAATACCTCGTGTTATTATTTTAAAAGTCTCTCTTAAGAGATTACACGAGTTAAATATGATAAAGGTAAAATATGATATATGAAAATGTTGTATGTTAAAGAGCACGTTTCATTCTTTGAAAAACATAAATATGAACCGTTCTAGATTTAGCATTGTTTGCTCAGATTCTGTGCTGAGTGCATAAATGGAAAATCGTGCTGGCTTCAGCAGCAAGCATTCGATGGCTATACTGTACTTTTATAGGAATTGTAATACAGTACAATTGTTGTACTTGTATCTCCTCCTCAAAACCGCGGAAGCGATAATCAACGCGCATCGTGAGATACGGTATCAGAAAAAGAACTTCCACGAGATGAGTTCGAACTGAATTTTTCTTTGCTCCGAGAAAATCCGAGGAATGCTTCAAGGTATCGGGAATCGTTGCGGGCTTGTAACGACGCTCTCGTCGTCGCGGATGTTCTTTCGCGTTTAGTTGCGCTGTCTTTTTCGGCGGTGAAAAGAAGTCGTCGGCATTCTTCAAGCTCTCTTTGTATTGGATTCCCTCCATGGCACGTTGCTAATCTGTAGGGATGAGCTGGTTTCCCTCATTCAGACCTCCTGTTCGTTCCTGTTATCGCTGATGACGAAAGGAACTAGAGTCACACATTCTGTTTCAACATGAAGAAACGGGGTCTCGTAGGCATCACGAAGCTTTTGGACGAGGCCGAGTTGACGTACGACTTCATTAGATTGTTCATCTTAAACTGTTGGGGATTCGGTTTTTGAGGGATTTATCTGATCGGTTGCATGGGTATGACATCCATTATCTTGAGCTGGAGACTTTATTCTTGTACGTCTCTCTGCTCCGCTACTTAGAAATGAAAGACAAGTAGAATATCATTGCAACAAACCTCGTTACAATTTTTTTGAGGACTTGCAAGATACCCAAGACTTTATTTGAGTCTCAATACAAAAAATTATGCCTCCGCATAACAAAGAATTACGCCAGATCCCAAGGGATTCCACTGTGACGAGATCCTATATGGGCCTGATGCAACAAATTATTCAAACATGTTATGCTATTATGCTAGATCATTCCAACAAAACTCAATGATCAGCACAATTAAAAATGCTGCTCAGTGAGCTCTTTTAAAGGAAACGTCTGTTATGCACATACTTTTACTTTTAATGGTATTTTCTGTATTCTCTAAAATTTTTGAGATGGATATGAGATCAAGTTGAGCTCAAACTTTCCATTTTAATTCTACTTGGCCATTTTCGTACCTCAAATCCAAGGGCATTCAATCGGAGATGAGAAGTGAGCATTGTTTTTTAATTATGTGTTTGGTTTATCGTGTGCGAAGCTAATCAGGTCCTAACCATCAATATTCTGCTATACTAGAGGAACACATAGCATCTCACATTGTTCGAGCAGCAGATTCTACACCAAGTCTGGGTAACTCTGGAAATGTTCTGTTTTCTTGGAAGTCCATGTGATGTTAGTTGTTACAGTATTCTAGGAATTTCAATTTCAGAATTCAACGAAGGCAACTTCGTCTCGTTTATATTGACCATGCACGGTTTGATGGTTATCTCAGTGAGGAAAGATTCCCCTGTGAAAATATGAGGAACTTACTCGGCGCTAGTCTGTATCGAATGAGTTTTGTTTCCTCGGCGATATGAAATCATCTCCTTGCTATAGTGTTCCCAGGGTTTGTGGATCTTCGCGTCCTTTGATGAGTAAAGGTTACTCGCGTCGCAAAAGAGCCCATCAGTGAGATTATTTGACATGCTGATGAGTTCTTAGCAATGTTCAGTGGAGACCTTTTAGTTAGCTTTCTGTTTGCCACGATAAATTACAAAAAACAATTGGCGTAGAAAGACGTACTTGAAGCACTTCAGTGCAGAAATCCGTTTTCCTGTTTTTTTCCTCGAACCGTAAAAAAAAACGCAAGAAAATATGGAAAAATGGATTTTATGAAGGATGCATAATGACGATATTACATTTGATCAAGATCATTTTTACAAAGAGGATATCATTTAATTTTTCTTTTTAGTAAAGCCTCCGATGAGATCGAACTCTTCGGACTGAACCCACGTGAATTTGAAACGGAAAAATGCATGCATGCTTATGGAAATGGCTCCATTGTACTGCGTTTTCGCAAACGTATAAGGCGGGCGTGATGAGTGTATGATGCCAACTTTTTATATACAGTATTTTGAACATTGAACGACGTCTTACATTCAAGTGGTAATGTCATGAAGATGCATGGATTGCGATTGTAATACTCGGATGCGTTTTTCATGAATTGAAGTTGGGGCACGTTTTAAATTAATCTTTATTGAAGATCAATAGGAAAATTATTCAAGTACTGCAATCGATTCGAGATTATTATGAAAGGAAGGAATTCGATTCGGCTGGCATTCTTGCTTCGATTGAAAAAAATGCATGCTCTCTTAACATTACATTTCTATGAGCAATTAGGACTGTTTTCAGGGTATGGCTTAAAGTCCTTGCACTGTACAGTATTTCGATTGAAAATAGTAATACTGTATATGGTTTGTTTAATGAGTTGGTCTTATTTTTGAACTTGAAAATGAGATCAGGGGAATTGAATTGTCATTCTTACTTTTTGCGAAGGGTGCAAAAGCGGAGCCTTCGATTGACAGTCGGGTCTTCGCACACGGCCCCTTCTTGCAGCTCTACCGCTGATTTGGAACCATAAATCCCAGCTGTCGCCGTGCCCTGGCCCTTATGGGGAAATTGTTGGGACTTCCTGTCGGGTCACGGCTTTCCGCACTGCCTCAGCCTCTTCGTCCATGAAGAATGAAATTGGTCACTGATTCACAAGAGGTGTTCTTCAGCTGCTTTTTCTGGAACACGAACATGGAACACGGGAGTACTTTCTCGGAAGGAAAATTCGAAACTAATGTAAACCTTAACTATAAATTAATGTATATTTAATGCGAGAAATCCATTGTATCCTTCGTTTCCGAACTTCACATTCACATTTCTCACAAGGACATTTGGTAGTTGAATTCTTCATTTGCATTTACCCTGTACGTCAAAACTTTCGAGGATATCCACCTTGCTTAAAAGAAATCGGTATTAGTCAATTACGACTGGATGATGTGCTCAGCGCTTCTTAAAAATCAAATTTATGACTATATTCGTGTCTTACGTGAGACAGTATTTTACTCAGAAATGAAACCCTTATATGCTTGCTTTCTTCTGCTCATATTTCGCATTCCAAGGATATAAAATAGATGATTTCATTTTTGAATATCGGTTGGATTTCTCGAGGACCGTCTCCTTTCGATTATTTCCCTAACAAGCCTTCGTCCAATTCGATATTCAAGATAACCACATGAGCATCCTGTCCATCATGCGGAGTCTTTTGGAAATGTTCCGTGTTATTTCATGCCTCATTGGATTTTTAATAGATTTGTGATCGCGTGTATCTTCATTTTTTCACAATGTCACACCTTGTGTTTCCTGACGCCGAAGTCAGGGTGCTTGACTTTCTGACCCTGCATGGAAAAGGTTAGGCAAAGCATCGGGTAAATAATGAAAAATCTTGCATATCATGGCCGTCAATATGTAACGAATAAGTTTCTACTCGTCTGAGAAGTCATTTTTTGCATAAAATTAAAAAAAACACACAAAACATAGCAGAAACAGTCGTTTGAATGGTCACTGCGAAGGTGGTGCAGACTGCAGATGAGTATACTCACGTATGAGTGTTTTGATCAAGATGAAGTAGAACGTTTTTTTTTAGAAAGATCCTTCTCATTCCGATGGATCAAAATCCTTCAAGATTATCATCAGGAAATTTTATTTCACTTCAATGAATCATGAAACGATTTACTTCATGTAACGCATGATTTGAATCATCTTATTCAAGAATTACATTGTGATATTTTTACCTGAACAAAATCAATTTTAATCGGATAAACTTTAGCTCTATTTCAGACGGCATGTTCCTAAAAATGTATGCCCTGTGGACAAAAATAAGTTTCTCTTTAGGAGCTAGAACATTTCATGGCGTTTTTGATGACCATATCTGGATTTCGACATTTCTACCTCTCCTTCTTCAGTATTTTTCTCTTGAACTGTGGTTGTCGTAGTTTTGAAGATTCCAAAACAAAAAAACTATTCTGCCCGCTTCGAGCGTAAGAATGAAGTTTCCCCTTTCAATATGAATTCCTGAAATGTTCCTCATGCCATTTGAAAAGAAGACTTCCCCGGCTATGAGAACTAGACCAGAGAAGAAAAGAATATCAGATTGTTTTAATGAAGAATTAATGAATGCCTGCTCTGCTTCGTTTAGCTTTGTCAGATTTCTCCTTGCGTCTCCTAATTTTGAATCCTCGAGATCCCGGGAAAACAAAGTAATTGAGCCTGTGGAAGCAACATTGAAATTCGCCCCTATTTGTCCACGCATATATAGAAAGCGGTGAGAAGTTTTCGCTCTCGCGCAGGGTCACGAGGCTCGCTCGGGGTTCCGGAAAACTTCGCTCCTCCGGATTCTAACAATCAAGCTCGCTGGAGGGGAACAGAAAGGGTCAAATCGCGTCTAAAAGAATGGGTCTTATTTGTA